TGATACTTGGAAGAAGGGAACAGAATTATAGGGGGAGTTTCCAATTTATTTGTACCATCTAACTTGATGGCTAGCAGTCCATGCTGCATGGAATGGCTACAATTCAGAAACTTACAGTCTTACTGGCTTTAAGAATCAGAGAACAAAGTTCATGGCAACCATAGCCACCAGAAAGTGAGGGAGAATCTGGGAAAGAAGAGCACCACAGAGGGAGAGTCCAAATTTACATATAAACTCTGCCCAAATATCACGGCTGACCCCTTAACCATTCATGTGTGGGTCAGACTACAACCACTACAACCAAGGCTAAAAAAATTGAACTTAGGTTTGAGCTGCTGCTGACTACTAGAGGAGACTTTTTTTTAGTGTGAGTTCAGGCAAGTAAACCTGTCAACAAAAAGTAAATAAATAGCCAACAATCAATTAAGTTAATACTCTTTGGAGGAATATAACAGAATATCTGCAATGTCCATGATACAATTCAAAATGAATCCACATATGAGAAAACAGAAAAATACGACTCATTTTCAAGAAAGAAGACAATCAACAGAGATCAACCCTAAGAAGACCCAGATGCTGGAATTAGCAAACAAGGATTTTAAAACAGCTATATACCATAACTATGCTCAAGGATATAAGGGAAAATATGCTCATAATAAAAGACAGAACATCTCAGCAAAGAAATACATATTACATAAAAACCACATGGAAAGTATAGAACTGAAAAATACCTGAAATAAAAAATTCACTGGATGGGCTTAACAGAAAAATGGAAATGAAAAAAGAAAAATTTAGAGACTTTGAAGATAAATAGAAATTATCCAATCCAAAAAAAAAAAAAGGAAAAGAAATTATCCAATCTGAAGATAGAGACAAAAAGAGATTGACAAACAAAACAAAAAAAAGCATGGACTGAACCTCAAAGTCTGACAAAGGAGCAAAGGCAGTTCACTGGAGAAAGGATAATTTTTTCAACAAGTGGTGCTGGAACAATTGGACATCTATATACAAAAAAAAAAAAAATAAGAATCTATACATAGACTATATGCCTTTCCCAAAAAAATTAACTCAAAATGGATCACAGACTTAAATATAAAATGCAAAACCATAAAACTGCTAGAAGATAACACAGGGGAAAAAACTTGGAGTTTGGTGATACCTTTTTTAGATATTAATATAACACCAAAAGCAGGATCCATGAAAGGAAAAATTGTGAAGTTAGACTTCATTAAAATTAAAAACTTCTGCTCTGCAAAAGACACTGTTAAGACAATGAAAAGACAAGCCACAGACTGAAGAATATATTTGCAAAACACTTAACTGATAAAGGACTTGTATCCAAAATATATGAAGGGCTTTTAAATCTCAACAATAAGAAAACAAACAACCTAATTAAAAAATGGGCAAAAGATATGAATGCATGTCACCATAGAAGATATACAGATGTCAAATAAGCCTATGAAAAGATGTTCAACATCATATGTCATTAGGGAATTACAAATTAAAGGAACAATGAGATACTATGACACAACTATTAGAATGGCTAAAATCCAAAACACTGACAACACCAAATGCTGGTAAGGATGTGTAGCAATAGAAATTCATTCCTTACTGGTGGTAATGTAAACCAGTATAGCCAACTTAGAAGACAGTTGGACAGTTTTCTACAAAACTAAACACACTTTAACCATACGATCCAGCCATCATGCTCCTTTGTATTTACCCAAATGATGCAAAAACATATCTACACAAAACCTGCACGTGAATGTTGATTCATAACTGCTAACACTTGGAAGCAACCAGGATGTCCTTTAATAGGTGAATGGATAAACAAACTGTGGTACATCTATACAATGGAATATTATTTAGCAATATAAAGAAATGAGCTATCAAGTCATAAAAAGAAATCTTAAATGCATTATGCTAAGTGAAAGAAGGCAGTCAAGAAAGGCCACATACTGTGTAATTTCAACTATACAGTATCTGGAAAAAGCAAAAATACGGAGAGTACTGTATTGCCAAAGATCAGTGCTTGTCTGGGGCTCAGAGGTAGGGATGAATAAGTGGAACACATAGACATTTAGGGCAGTGAATTTATTCTGCTTGACACTATTATAGTGATACTTGTCATTTACACATTTGTTGAAATCCATAGAACTGTACAACACAATAAATGAACTTTAATACAAACTGTGAACTTCAGTTAATAATAATGTATCAATATTAACCCACAAATTGTAACAAATGTACCACACTAATGCAAGATGTTAATAATAGGGGAAATGGGTGGGGTGAGGGGGCATATGGTAACACTGTACTTTCTGATCAATTTTTCTGTAAATCTAAAACTGCTCAAAAAAGTTTATTAATTAAAAGTCAGAACAGAAAACATGGACAGAACCTCAAGAACTAACAACAGTTATGGTGTCATAGAAGGAGAGGAGAAAGAATGGATAGAAAAAATATTTGAAGAAATAAAAAAGGAAAAAATTTCAAATTCGATAAAAGATATATATTTACAGATTCAAGCTTAGTAAACTTCAACTCTCATAAACACACCACACACAACCCACTCCACATGCACACTTTGGCATATCATCATCAAACTTCTGAAATCCAAAGATAAAAATCTTAAAAGCATCCAGAAAAAAGGACATATTGTATGTAGAAAGGATTTCAATGACCACCAACTTCTCTTTAGAAACAAAGGAGGCTAATTTGTTTCTCCACCGAGTTCCTTTCATAAGTTTCTCCTCCATATCTCATAATTTAAGAAAACATTTGTGAGGGGGCAGTGATAATAGTGAAATATGTGATATCTATAAAAGAAAGAGTGCATGTGGGAAAATACCCCTTTATCTGTGTCACTTCTCCTTACTTGATGCTCCCAGATTGTAAAGGTCAGCTGAACTAATACAATTATTTTGAATTATGTGTATTAAATACATTTTTAAAAATAATCTGGGATATGCAGATACAAAGACTAGACAATTTAAAGGGGTTTCTTCCTTGAAATTTCATAAACTAGATACCATGTCAACATTTATTTGATGTGATGTCAATTTTATGTGGATATTGAGAGATCTAAAATTTATCAATCTTTAACACTGAACTAAAATCTTGTTTATTTAATAGGCTCTGAAAATTCAGAGGGTAATGATTTCCAAAAACTGAAAGACAGCGAAGAGACATACTGATCCAAATGGTAGTGAGTTAGAAGCACCAAGAAAGGTCTAGGCAAGACATGCTGATTTGACAGAACAGGAAAAACAACACTAGAAGAGAGATAGGAACTCTGTCCAACTTTCTGTCACATGGTTTCGTAAATATTTACTCATTTAGTTAGAGCAGCAGTAGCAAACCTTTTTGGCACCAGGGACCGGTTTCTGGGAAGACAGTTTTTCCACAGACCAGGGGTGGGGGCGTGGGGGTTGGTTTTGAGATGATTCAAGCACAACCTAGATGCTCCAGCGAAGTTTACAGTAGGGTTCCGGGCCCCTATGAGAATTTAATGCCACCCTGATCTGACAGGAGGCGGAGAGATGGGGAGCATCTGTAAATACAGAGCCAGCTTCCCTGGCTCACCACTCACCTCCTGCTGTGGTGGTGGTGGGGGGCTGGACCACAGAATTAGAGCAACTACAGACAGTAGCTGGTAAAATTAAGGAAAAGTGCCGCGGCGCCCATTTGTTTCAGGATTAAGGTACTGTTAGCAGCCCTGCCTACTTGCCTTGAAGGGATAAATGAATATTCCCAACAAAGCTAACAAGCAGCAGGAGAACTGATCTTTGTTCCACCAAAACCTCTTGCCAAACACTAGGATGGGTGCTAGTAAAAATCTGAGGATTGCTTTTTCTTGTTGACTGAAATCTGGTAAGTTAATGATAATCTTTACCAAAGTTAATTCAAATGTGTCCTCTTCTCTACAATAATCAGTCACATGTCCTTCTTTCTTACCACCAGTCCTGTAAACACTTGTTGTGCTACTTAAGAGAAGCGCTTATCTTTAAAGATTCTAACTAGCCTGTAACATCACTATTTGAAGCTCAAGCCACTTTACCTCTCTGGCCATTAGTGTCTTTACGTGTAAAATAGAGAAATGGGAAAAAATATGATCACAGGTTCTACCGCTAGAGTAAACTGTATCACAAATTTATAAATTTTATACTTCATTAATACAGGTGTTAATGTAGTCTTTTTTCCTTATCAGGTTTATAGTTTTCATCAAATTTTTAAAAGGGGTCTGTATTAGAAGAAAAGGGTAAGAACCACTGATAAAATATTAAAATGAGCAATAAAATTATTTCCTTTTTAGAAAGATAGCTCATTACAATGCAGCTTTTAAATGAAGTGAGTTTTCTGAATGTCTCATCTTAAAAAAAATCAACATGCTGCTTTATTAAATAAGTGCAGTTTAAGTTCAGAGTTGGGAAGGGCACTGGCAAATGAAACCCATGTTGCAGGAAATGGATACTCTGCATTTTGTTCCAGAATACCTATTTTCCACTTGATTTATTCACATGCCATTTTGGCTTTTCTGACTTCCAGATCCCCCTAACCAACGCCTAGCTGGGTGCCACCTAGGTGCTTCACAGGCATGAAAAAGTTCTTTGCCTAAAACTGAATCCTCAATCTTCCTCTCCAAATCGATTCCTCCCCCAGTTATCCTCACTCGTAAGTGGTATCATCATGGACATAGTTTCTCAATCCACCTCCAAATGTATCTCAAAAACCCTCTCTCCCTTTTTTCCCCCTACTCCATGGTCCCCAGAGGAGTCAACGCCATTATTTGCTGTTGCCTGGACCTCTACAAAAATCCTTAAAGGTCTCCTCATTGTTAAATAGCCCCACAGCCTTAGGAAATCCGGGCAGAGTGGAAATCAGATCCTGTCATTCCCCTGCTTTAAATCCTTTTATTGCTTTCCACTGAATTTAGAACAAAACCCCACAGGGCCCTGGAGCACCAAAATGCTTGGTTCTTTGATCCCACCAGGCTTTTTCCTGTTTCAGGGTCTTGATCTGTGTTCTACCTGAATGTTCTTCAACAGACACTCATCCTTAAGATTCCACTGACTCTGAAAGTTCGCTATGAAAAGGGAGTTTGCATAGTTGTTTTAACAAGGTAGTAACTCTAGAACTTAAGTACTTACTGAATGACTGCACTTTCCTGCAGTCGTTCAAATTAAAGGAATACAGGAGAAAAACAGAGTGAGGCAGATGTTGAAACAGAACTCCACCTATCATTTGTGGAGGTCAGGCCGCTCGGGCGGAAATTCCCTGGCGACCCTGCGGGAACATCTTCAATTTCTGCCCGCAAGCCCTGCCCACCCGCCACCGCGAACTAAGGGGCCCGGCTCCTGCACTCGCTGCTCTGCGTGCCTCGCGCTTACGGCATCGCCCCACTTTTCCTAACAGCTGGGATCGAACTACTACGCAAAGCAGGGAAGCATCTCCAAGGTCACAAGCAGGCAAACCTTGCACTCAGCAGGAAAGTGCACGGAAATGGCGGTCGCTAGCGCCTTGCAAGTAAGGGTTTCCTCCTTAACCCAAACCTTCCTCTGGGGTTGGGTTTTTAGCAAGTTCCCTCCAGAACCGATGAGACTGAATGAACGTCACCCCACGACCCCCGACTCTCCGCCGAGCCTGGAGGCGGAGGGCGCCCTGGGGAGGGTATGACCCCGAGAGGCGAGGAGCAGTGGGCCGCGCTCACCTCGGAGCAAGGCCATGGCGGCGGATGGGTGCTCGCGGCGCAGGGTTCTCGTCCGGGGTGCCCTGCTGGGGCGCGCGCGGGAATCCCGACCTTAAGGATGTGGGCGGTGCGCCCGAGACCACGCCCCTGACATTTGCCCCCCTTTCCGAGGGCGGCGCGCCCCACCCCACTCCCGACTCGGCCAGGGGGCTCCTCCTGCCTGCCCAGGTTTTCTCAATCGCCGCGTCACGCTGCCTTCTTTGCCCCATCCCTTAGGAATCAAAGGTGCCACCGCTCGCCGGGAAGACGGCCTGGGGGAGATGGAAGCGTGCCTTGCCAGCGGACTTTCCCCTGACATCATAGTTTTTAGACTTCCCCTGTTTGCAAACCGAGAGAATTTGAACAGCCCGCATCCATCCTACCCCTGGACCCTATAACCCCTGGCCCCCAGCAGGTGATAAATGTTCCCCTTCATCCCCGCCTGCGGGTATTGTAGAAAACACATTTAGGCGCCTGGACACCAAACGCCAAACACCCCCTACTCCGCCCTTGGAGAAAGGAGGCCGGCGGGCTGGGGGCGGCGCCGGAAGTCCGTGGGCGGGCATGGCAACGGCGCGGCGGATTGGCTGGGGCCGGCAGCTGCGCAGACCGCTGGGCGGAGGCTCAGCTCGCTTAGCCGGAAGCAGGAGGGGTTCGGCAGCCAAGCGGGGCGGAGAGGTTGGAGAGGTTGACTTCTGGTGGGGTGCGGCGAGTGTGGTAGCGTAGGGCGCTCTCGGGTCCTCGATGCAGCCCTCGGATGAGCCCGCAGTATTTTCCTTATATGATCAGGTCCTATTGCTACTTGCGCGGAGCCTGAGAGGATTATGAAAACGTAGCAGGCGACGTGGGGCCAGGGGACCCGGCCGGGGGCGCTGGGGGTGGGTAGTAAGGGGCGAGGGTCAGCGGGTGAGGCTAGACAGCAGGAAGGTTTAGGGAGGCTTCTGCTGCTGTAACTGTGAACCCTTGCCGATGATGACGTGACCACTGCGCAATCTGAGTTCTGGCAACCAGATGATGGAGTGTGTTCTGAGAACGGACTGAGGCTGGGCGAGCAGGAGGCGGCAGGGGCAGAGATGGTTAAGGAGGCGGCCAGGCTGCCTGGGGCTTGGATCAAGTGTGTGGGAACGGGTGGTGGGGTGGCCTAGACGTTTTCTCTGAGTCGTCAGCGAATGCATGCCTCAGAATCCTATTTTTCAAACGCTTTGGTGGCCTTCTTGCAGTGTATTTTTAAAAAATCCAGCTTTTTATTATGAAAACTTGCAAACATACAGAAAAGTGGAAAAATTCGCATAGTGAACAACTGGTATAAGTCACCTAATTCTATGATGATTAACATTTTGCCAGATTTGCTACATTACGTCTATCCACCTGTTCCTCTGTCAAACCATATTATTATTATTGTATGTATATCTTTTTATTTCAGAGTATTATAGTGGTACAAACGTTTTGATTTTGTGCAGTTTGAGTCAAAGTTATGTGTGTGCCCATCACAAGATAGCATTCGGTGTGAATTTACCCATCCGCTCCTCCGCCTCCCACCTACTTAATTTCTCTTGAGTTTTACTACTATATGTGCACATGGGTGTTGATCAATTAGTTCTAATTTAATAGTGAGTACATGTGGTATTTGTTCTTCCATTATTGTGATACTTCGCTTAGAAGAATGATCGCCAGTTCCATCCAGGTTGTTAAAAAAGGTATTCATTTTTTTAATGACGAAGTAGTACTTCCTAGTATACATATACCACATTTTATTAATCCATTCATGTATTGATGAGCACTTGGGTTGATTCCACATTGCTACGATTGTGAATTGTGCTGCAATAAACTTTTGAGTGCATGTGTTTTTCTGATAAAATGATTTTTTTTCCTTTGGGTAAATACCCAATAGCGGGATTGCTGGATCAAATGTTAGGTCTACTTTTAGTTTTTTGAGGTATCTCCATACTACTTTCCATAGAGGTTGTACTAGTTTACAGTCCCACCAACAGGGTATAAGTGTTCCCTTTTCTCCACATCCACACCAGCATCTGTTGTTTTGGGACTTTTTGATAAAAACCATTCTCACTGGAGTTGGGTGATATCTCATTGTGGTCTTGATTTGCATATTTGCATTTCCCTGATGATTAGAGACTTTGAGTATTTTTTCATATGTTTATTGGCCATTAGTCCATCTTCTTATGAAAAGCTTCTGTTCATGTCTTATGGTGTAATTTCATTTCTTCTTGCTGATTTGTTTGAGTTCTTTGTAGATTCTGGTTATCAGCACTTTATTGGATGTATAGCGTGCAAATATTTTCTCCCATTCCACAGGTTGTCTATTCACTCTTTTGATTGTTTGCTTGCCTACACAGAAGCTTTTTAATTTTTTGTTAATTTTTGTTGTTGCTGTGATTGTCTTTGGGGTCTTCTTCATAAATTCTTTGCCAGGGCAATATCTAGAAGAGTTTTTCCAACATTTTCTTCAAGAATTCTTTTAGTTTCATGCCTTAGGTTTAAGTCTGTTATCCATTGTGAATTAATTTTTGTGAAGTAAGAGGTGTGGATCCTGTTTCAGTCTCCACATATAGCTATCCAATTCTCCCAGCACCATTTATTGAATAGGAATTTTTTTTCTTTTTTCTTTCAGCATATTATGGGGATACGAATGTTGAGGTTACATATATTGCCTTTGCCTCACCCGAGTCAGAGCTTCAAGCATGTCCATCCCCCAGATGGTGCGCACCGCACCCATTAGATGTGTATATACGCATCCCCTCCTCCCCCCTCCCATCTGCCTGACACCCGATGAATGTTATTACTATATGTGCCCTTAAGTGTTGATCAGTTAAAACGAATTTGATGGTGAGAACATGTGCTTGTTTTTCCATTCTTGGGATACTTAATAGAATGGATTCCAGCTCTATCCAGGATAACGCAAGAGGTGCTAGATCACCATTGTTTTTTGTGGCTGAATAGAACTCCATCGAATACATATACCATATTTTATTAATCCACTCATGTATTGATGGGCACCTGGGTTGTTTCCACATCTTCGCAATTGTGAATTGTGCTGCTAGAAACATTCTAGTACAGATGCCTTTTTTATAAAATGTCTTTTGTTCTTTTGGGTAGATGCCCAATAATGGGATTGCTGGATCAAATGGTAGCTCTACTTGTATCTCTTTGAGGTATCTCCATATATTGCTTTCCACAGAGGTTGTACTAGTTTGCAGTCCCACCAGCAGTGTATGAGTGTTCCTATCTCTCCACATCCATGCCAACATTTATCGTTTTGGGACTTTCTGGTAAAAGCCATTCTCACTGGAGATAAGTGATATCTCATTGTGGTTTTGATTTGCATTTCCCTGATGATTAGAGATGTTGAGCATTTTTTTCATAGTTTCTTGGCCATTATTCTTTCTTCTTTTGAAAAGTTTCTGTTCATGTCCTTTGCCCCCTTTTTGATAGGGTTGTTTGATTTTTTTTTCTTGCTGATTTTCTTGAGTTCTATATAGATTCTAGTTATCAGCCCTTTATTAGATGTGTAACGTGAATATTTTCTCCCATTCTGTAGGTTGCTCTTGTGATAGTTTCCTTGGCTGTGCAGAATCTTTTTAATTTGATTGGGTCCCATTTATTTATTTTTGTTGTTGCTGTGATTGCCTTTGGGGTCTTCTTCATAAATTCTTTGCCTAGGCCAATGTCTATAAGAGTTTTTCCAACATTTTCTTCTGGAATTCTTATAGTTTCATGCCTTAGGTTTAAGTCTGTTACCCAGCGTGAGTTGATTTTTGTGAGAGGTGAAAGGTGTGGATCCTGATTCAGTCTTCTACATGTGGCTATCCAGTTTTCCCAGTACCATTTATTGAATAGAGATTCTTTTCCCCAGTGTATGTTTTTGTCTGCTTTGTCAAAGATTAGATGGCTGTATGAGGATGGTTTATTTATTTTTTTATTTTTTGTCTCTCAAGATAAAGTTGGCATGAGGGTTCTTCTTAGGGAAGAAAGATCTTTGTTTTGGAAAATAAATCTTTAAGTCTTTCTTGCTAATGGGGATGGGGAGAGCATTTATAGAAAGTGCTTTGCTTATGGGCTGGGAAGAGCAGAAAAAACAGAAGAATGTGGAGCCTAAAAACATGGCTCGAGGTTAGAGCCTGAGTTGATAAAAAAGCAAAAAGTTTTTAAAGAGGATGCTTAATATTTAATTGCAATTTTTTATGTTTCTTCAATATAAATATACTCCATTTCCCAAATGTTCAGAATGTGACAGTATAACTTTCAAAAGTTACAATATGGCTTTCATGCAAATATAAAATGAACATATGTCAAAGATTTTATTCAACTCATTAATTAATGCAGGAAATTGTAGGATATTAAGACCAGTTCAAATGAGAATTTGAAGAACAGCTATAAATATGAAATCAGGAAGGGAGAGGGGGCCCAAGACGGCTGACTAGAGACATCGGGTGCCAGGTCGTCCTGGAGGGAAGGAAGGGTTTCAGATAAAGGAGAGGGGGGAATGAGCACAGCTCAGGTGTAGTTCAGGGGAAAAAGTGCCAGAGACGGCCGGAGACTTCATGGAAGGAAATTGTGAAGTAGAACAGGAAGAAGAAAAGATAACAGCAAAGATCAACGCCAGAGAAGCTGAGAGCCCAGTGAAGGGGTAGGTGGGGTTTTGTTCCTCCTTCCCACACACCTCCAGTAGTTGGCGGGCTGCCAAGCTGTTTGAGTGCTTTTCCACCCTCATGAGCCCAAGCGCTGCTGCAACCACTGAGCTAGGACCTTCTTGAAAATAAAGCATGGGGCTTCCGGCCCCCTTGGGGTCCCCCCTCCCCTGTAGCTATGGCCCGGAGCAGAGAAGGTGGACGCCATGCAACAAATACCTACTCCAGAAAATTCAAGTTGCTGAACCAGAACATCAGGTGAATAAAACGAAACGTAGACAGAAAGTAATGCAGACACTGATTTGCCAAATCCCTCATTTTAAGTTTACCCTAAGTCTTGGTATGTTCCCAGTAGCCTTAAAGTATTGTCTCAAACTCAGGTGGAAGATAAATGTTTTTCTTCTCTACTTGTTTGAA